TTTCATCATGCTGTCTAGCTGAGTTTTCTTGTATCTCATTCAGTTTCTTTAGAATTATCACTCGAAATTCCTTGTCATTCATTTCAAGGGCTTCTTGTTCTGTAGGATCTAGAGTTTGAGATTTATTAACTTTTGGTGGTGTACTTTCTTGGTGTTTTGTGTTTCTGGTATCTTTTTTTGAATGTTTATTCATTTTGGCAGGGGGTTTCACTGTGCACAGGTTTGACCCTATTCCCTGCTCGGTGCACTCTTGACTAGGCTGGGGAGTGTCTTCTGCAACCCCTGCTTGGCACCGCCCCACCCAGGAGGTCTTTCAGGTTTCTGCTAGTCGCTCTGGGTGGCTTTGCAGCACTGTATAGGGCTTTCTCAGGATTATTCACCTTCCTCCTGTTATTGCAGTTATCTGTGTGCTTGTCTTATCTCCCACTCTGGAGCGTGAGCTCCTCGGGGGAGAAGCCCACAGCACACAGTTCCTCTTTGAATCCCCCCGGCATGGACCAACTCCGGCGCCCGCCTGTGGTCAGCTCTCCAGCAGGTTCAAGTGAGCTCGGGAGTGCTCCGATCACACTTTTCCTAATCAGAAATCGGTTAGGTGTTTTTCTGAACTGATGGCCGCAGAGATGGTATCTGCCTCCCTGTTACAGGAAGTTTACAGGGGGCGGAGCCCAGGGTGCGGTGGAGTGATAATCTGCCCGGCCTGGCCTTCCCTGATCTCCCAACGCCGGTTCTCCCCCTGCCACTAGCCCTGCCAGAGAACTGCGGGGGGATGGGATGGGAGGCCGGCCCGCAGACCCCGGGAGGCCCCACGCCAGGGCAAGGAAGTGGGAAGGCTCAGTGAGGAGCCAAGCCGGGTGAAGTCGGCCTGCTCCGCCCCCACCTGAGAAAATGGAGGCAGCCCCAGGCCAGTGACTGGCCCAGTGGGGTAGGCGGAATCCAGACAGGTGTCTGCTCTGCAAGCAGGGCTGGGCTGGGGGTCACTCACAGAGCTGAGCCTGCCGAGCGGCTCCCTCTCTGTTTCCGTGTTGTCGCAGTCTCAGTCCTCAGCCACTGCTGCCTTGGGCTGCTCACTTGGTCCTGCAGTGCGTCTTGGGCACTCCCAGGAATCCTCTTCTATGCCGGCCCTAAACCTCGAGTCTGTAGTTGCGTTTTTATAGTTGTAGATTAGTTGATCAAAGACTGATTCATTTTTTGTTGCTCTTGTAAATGCAAGTAGCACTCTGGCAGCACAGCGCACACCTCTCCGGCTCCCGCTGTCTCCTGGCGACCCCGCTCCTGACCCATCGCCATCTTGACTCTCTTTTCCATCTTGCATTTTTTCGAAATTAAATTTTTTAAAAAGTGATGATGAAAGAGTATGTACAGTATAAATCCAGCAAAATAAAAGAGAATTTCTGTGTTTGTACAGAAAAAATATATATATATAAGGGGATATATATCAAAAATCCAACATTGGTTAACATTAGATATTTTCTTGTTGTTAATCTACAATTTCTACTTCTATAAAAATGCACACATTCTTTTACATTTTGTAAGGAAAATATTTTAGGGCCAATTATTTCACAGATTATTCTAAATTGCTGAATTAAGAAAAAGATGGTAAAGGAATGTTTTAAATTAGATAATCTTGGAGATAAACTAAATCTTTTGGTTTTAGGAAGAGTAGGAATTATGAGTAAAACTCCTGAATACTCTTCAGAAGACCAATTTCAGGAAACTGAGTGGGTTATATTCACTAGAGTGTCATAATCATTTTTGAATCTAATCATCTTCTCTTTACTTTGTAGATGGTGGCCACTGGAATATGTCGCTCAGATGACCACGTAGTTAGTGGAAACTTTGTCTCACCTCTCCCTGTGATTCTAGGCCATGAGGCAGCGGGCATCGTGGAGAGCATTGGAGAGGGGGTGACATCAGTAAAACCAGGTACAGAAGTCACACTCAGGGGATGTGCCATGATGCAGGAACCTGAGGTGAGAAAACAGGCAATGAGCAATGGATCAACCTGCACACGGTCGTGGCCAAGCTGGGACTTGAGAGCTTTCCTCCTTCCCTCTCTCCCTGCCTGGCTCAGGCACACACGCCTTCAACACTCGTGCATTCTCTCCTGCAGCAATTCTGCATTCAGGATCTACTAGACGCCAGGTACCAGCTTTGGGCCTGGGAGCACATGAGGATCAAAGAGACACATTGCCTGTCACTGTGGAGTTCATAATCTAGTAACGTCCATGGTAGTGGTGCTGAGCTCTGTCTTCTGTCAGGGCCCAAACAGAATCACAGCGGGGACAAGGGAAACAGTGAAAGCTTCTGTTCTGAGTCCCCAGATGAGTGTCTGAAAACAGTCTGGGCGGAGTTCACAAAATAGTGTCTGTGAGGCTATAACCGAATCAATGTGATCTTTTCATAGGAGGTAAGAGGAGGCCATGTACTAATTTTCTCTTCCAATATGGCCTTTATTTCTTGAACATGGAACCAATGAAACAGAGTAGATGGAAGGAAGTGAAAGAAACATAGCAGAAGGCATCGGGCCATAAACAGTGTCTGTTCTATTACCTTTAGCGGTGGCTACATGTGACTGGTTACAAATTACTACGCATTTTATTTTCTGTATTTATTTATCCTAATTAAATGGTACATTAATATAGATGTTTTTAGAGATTGATGGTGAATAAATAGAAAGTTTCCATGCCATCATCCTTACATAAAGTTTGTCTATAAGATGTGATGGGCCAAGCATTTTTCTTGGTCTGGTGGGAGAGGTAGCATAGATGATTAAAAGTAAAAACGATGTTTTATTCTAAAAATCACTTTAGCCAGTAGTTTCCTCCTTCCCCTTTAACAAATACTTAAACTGTGAACAGAACATAATAATCTGTCTAATTTGAGTTTCAGCTCTTATTACTTTTTATTTAGAAATAAGTTAATTATAATATGACACCTTATATTAATCCCTTCTTTCTCCACCTTAGTAAGAAAAATACATATTCATAAATTATTAGCTAAAAACTCTTGAAGATCAGTTCTTTCTTATCCCAAAAGAAAGTGTCGGGGTTTAACAGGAGGAGCAAAAGGGAGTTCAGAGAGAGGATGGGTAAGAGACACGTGGAACAATTGCAGTTTGTAGTAATGGGCATGCTGATAGTATTGATCTGATTATCACATCTTGTTTACAAGTGAGGAAGGTCAACCTGGTGCCCCAGGAATACACATAATCAATACAATAAATAAGTAAATAAATAAATACTCATTTAAAAAAGAAAGTTCCTAATTCATTGTTGAAGGTTGACCTTTTAAAGAAATGTCTTGAATTCTTCTTTGTTCTACTTTTGTTAGTTTTCTTCAAAAATGAACTGAGATTTTGACAAAAGCATTCACTTCATAATAAAAATATTCACCTTGAAAAACTAATTATTGGTTATGGAAATTCTCATTTTCATTTTAACCCAATACTACCAAATACCAGCTCTCCCCAACATCAAGTGGAATTATGTCATCCCACTTGCAACCAAAACTTATATTTATAATTGCACTGAGAATACTTAAGGCTTAATTAATATAGGATTAAATGAGTTTATGTGTGTAAAGGCCCCAGGAGAAATAAAGGTAAGCGATAAGAGTTAACTATTAATACAGGAAATAAATTTTTCAAATCCATTTTGTTTTCCCCATTTGCATTTCCTCTTTGGAAATGTTCAGGCATATAAAAACTCAAACTGATAACAATATTGGCAGGCAATGACCAATGACATAGTTGTGATTGGACCCTAAGTCTTGGAGCCTTTTCAAAGACACACTATTATACACATATACACATGTTAGCTTTAAGTCTTTGCTCTATTAATTCCTGGATAGAAATTTAAGGTGAATTTCTTTTATATCCTTCCAGGTGACAAAGTCATCCCACTCTTTAGTCCCCAGTGTGGAAAATGTAGAATTTGTAAACACCCAGAAAGCAACTACTGCGTGAAAAATGAGTAAGTTTCTAATATTCCCCTTGCATAGCTCATGAGTTGGCACATTAGTTGTGCTCCTGACATGCCCTTGTGTGTCTGTGTGTTCCACTGACCAGTCTAGGCAACCCTCGTGGAACCATGCAGGATGGCACCACCAGGTTCACCTGCAGAGGGAAGCACGTCCACCACTTCCTGGGTGTCAGCACCTTCTCTCAGTACACAGTGGTGGATGAGAATGCAGTGGTCAAAGTTGATGCAGCCTCACCGCTGGAGAAAGTCTGCCTCATCGGCTGTGGATTTTCAACTGGTTATGGGTCTGCCGTCAAAGTTGCCAAGGTAGGAATGACAATGGGCCATAGAATCAGTTGCACTCAGACTGTTCAGAAACAGAAGGGGAAGAAATTGCTAACAAGACTCAGGGATGATACTTCATTGATGTGGGGTATGGATTATGAATTAAAAAATGGCCCCCAAAGAATTGAGAGTCTGTCCTTGAAAAGTCACCATTCATCACAGATGAAAAGTTGTTGATACTTAATTAAGAAAAAGTAAAGACTTCGTTTTCAGTAACTGTTCTTCTATATTCTTTCTGGGACTATTAAATTTGGGGGCTGGGAAATCATATAGTCATTCATTCTACAGTTAGAGAGCACCTCCACATGCATTAGGTAGAGAAGATTCTGCTAAGTTCTGAGGCAGCAAAAGTAAATGAAATGAAGTGTTTGCCTTTCAGGAGCATCTAGTCCGTGGCCTCTCACTCATAGAATTAGGATCAAAAGTAAATTAAAAATCCTAACCTGATACACCTGCAAACTGAAGGTTGCCCACTCTGTGGATTCTGATGAAGAGAATAAACGGATCTTCAACTATGCATTTCTTCCAATTACTATGGGATTTTACTGGTACATGTCCTCCCTTGGCATGAACACACACACACACTCAGACATACACACACATACACTTCAGAAGTAGTAAATTTCAAGGCAACCATTCCTTAAGGGCCCCTATTCCCAGAATGTTGAAAATCTAATAGTATCTTTCATTTTGTATAACAGACACAAAGTTACTTTCCCAAAATCTCACAGCTGGTTATTATAAGAGCTGAGACTAGAATATCTTTCTCAGATCTCCTACTGAATGTAAAATTGTAATACTTAATCACTAGCACTTTTAAATCACAGTCACAAGCCTCGCATTTTTCTTAGGAAAGTGGAAAGTGGTGTTATACCTCGAAGTATTTAGAACATTTGGTGAATGAATGAGTGCATGGACACCCTTAAGGGAATGTAACAGTGAGAACACAGAACAGTAACAGCATTTTACCTTCTCTAAAAGCTGACCAGAGATGACTAGGTTTATTAAACAGTCCCTAGGCAATGTAAACAATTAGATCACATATTTTCTAAATTTCTATGACTTTAGCACTGAGTCCCTTGAGACAATTGTCTCTTCTGGTGGAGCAGGTGGTCTAAGTGACTTTGCCCACACAGCAGAATCTAACAGTAATCATGATAATAAGTTTCATTCACTATTAAAATACAGATCAACTTTTACTGCATTAGTTTCATTACTGCATTTTTAAAAGCAGGGATAAAGATCCATGAAGATCACATTGGTTTCAAGACGTATAAGAGTACTTCAAAAAGATTATGAAAAATACAATTAAAAGACAATACAAATCTTTCCGTGAACGTTTTGAAGTACCCTCCCATTATCTTAAAGTAATATGATGAATTTCCCTTGTTTGGGCTTTGCATTAAGCTAAGAACAACTCTACAATGTGTCAAAGCTAATTTCTGCTCTCATCATATTGGTCATGACTGTTCAAAGTTAATCAGCCAAGGAGTTAATTATTGAGAGTTTGATTGTATTATTTTTCGGTCACTTGGAGTAACGTTTTCCATTTATTCTACTTTCTGAAAATTGTCTTTGTGTGTGCATGAGACAGTGAAGCTAGCTATAGATGGATTTTAGCCATTGAGATTTTCTTCAAGATTGTAGTCACTGACTTTAGAGTTCAAAGTTCACTCAGCCCACTGGTTCCCAGCCTGGGTTTCCCACTGGAGTTATACAGGGACTGTATTCCAGCTACAGATATTCTGGGGGGCTACAAACTGGACACTGAAATTTTTTAAAGCTCCCTGGATGAGTCTAATGTTCAAAGTAGTATGAGAACCACTGAACTAGTTCAACCTCCTCAATTTAATTATGAACGAACTGAAGCCCAGAGAGGTATGACAGCAGGATGAACATCACATTCTGAGTAGCTCCTGATAATGGACAAGGCACGGCTATTTACAAAGCTAGGCAGCTTGTAACAATCATTACTTGATCCATCTGTGCATTTTCTGAAAACACAGGTCACCCAGGGCTCCACCTGTGCTGTGTTTGGCCTGGGAGGAGTGGGTCTGTCCACTATCATGGGCTGTAAAGCAGCTGGAGCATCCAGGATCATTGCAGTGGACATCAACAAGGACAAATTTGCAAAGGCCAGAGAGGTGGGGGCCACCGAGTTCATCAACCCTCTAGACTACAAGGAACCCATCCAGGAGGTGCTAAAGGCAATGACCGATGGAGGTGTGGATTTTTCCTTTGAGGTCATTGGTCGGCTTGACACCATGGTATGTACCATGACATGCCTAGAGATTTCTCCTTCTGCAATCTGGAGTGTGCTTAAGAAGCAGAATATAAATATTATGTATAAAGAATATTTTTAAAGAGTTGGATGTCAATTTTTCATCTCTTCTTTGTTAACTGGATTGTTTCATTTATTTTTGAGAAATCTTTCATTCTGTAAAATAAACAATCCTGTCTCAACTAATAGTTCCTTTTTAAACAGAGAAAAGGCCTTGTTATTTTCAATTAAGCCCTTAAAAATTTACATTATTAATTTTTCATGAAAACATTCCAACTCAAGTGAATATAAACAATATTAATTCTGTTCTCATATGGCCAGTTTTATTTTCTCCCACATGCTTAAAAAAAATGTTATGATAATTTTCATGTGTTTTAATGAATTTGGGGGGATTTTTCATACACCATCTGGCCACAAAAAAAAGGCGGATTTAAGGCCAAGTAATATTTAATTTAAGGAAACAATGACCTAAAGAAAGTGACTGCTTTCATGTATCGCTATATTTTGCCACCTAGAAAGCACCATGCCTTCCACATGGCTGGACCCAATCTCTATGTCGGACTAAAGACTTTCAAAAGTCAAGAAATTTTACTAGCCCCCAAATTTAGAGACACATGTCCCATAGCAGGGTTTGTGAATTACAAGAAATTATGTGTATAAAATACTTAGCACAGTGCCATCTGTCATGTGGTAAGCTCTCAATAAATGTCAGCTGGCATTATTGATAGGAAATGCTATTTCCAATCTTGCAGTGCACACATCTTTAAGTATACACGGTGTTACTTTCATACAATTACAAAACATTCAATTTTGATGGGGGACATATTTCTAGCTATCTTTCACCTAATCAAAATTCCCTAGGATCCAGTTGAAAAGTTCCCAGAGACCAACGAGTCCCCATTGTTGAGGTTCTCCAGCAAGTCCCAGCCCTGCTAGTAATGGGGAGCAGCACCCTGAGGGGAAGCTGCAGGCAGCCTGCACTGGGACAAAACCCACAGATGAGTGAAGTTCCGAGAGAGACCACCTATTTCTGAGGCTGTCGATTTTCTCCTTGTGGTCGTTTTCAATTGTTTTCCCTACATTTTCTCATAGGGAACTGGATTGTTACTTTACTGGAAGAAACCAAATGTCTGATAGCCACAACTTTTGGGAATATCTGTTCTTTGAAATGTCATAATTCAAAACCAAAGGACTCATCATTATGTAAATTCGGGGATCCTAAATCATTTTCTTACTACACAATATGTTCAAAACCCTGGCTATGGGGAGGAGTCTTTGTCAACTATCTTTTGAGATTCCAGAATAATAGGTGCAGTTTAAAGTAAAACCAGTATACATTTTGGGGAGGGAAATACAACATTTAAAACATGTCCTAGAAGTGGAGAGTAGAATAGCTATCCATGAAGAAGGGAGAACATCAAATGGATAAAAGAACATTTTTTGACCATTATATCTTGTTCACCATCACAATACCTGGTTCAAAGTACCATGTTCAAAATATCCCCTATTAACAGAATGAAAAATGAATGAACCAACTCCTTGTACTGCCTGAGAATCACGTGGTGATGAAACAGCGCCCTATTTCAGAAACCAGAATTATACACATTTGTCATGAAGTTTGCCCCTTTAAAAGAAATAAGTTAAAACACCAGTATTCATTAATCCATTCTTTCATTCAAAAAATGCTTTCTGGGCATTTCCTAAAGCCACAGCACTATCCTCGACACCAAGGGAAATGAAGAAGCAAACGACATAATCTCTTCCCTCCACACATTGACACTCTAGCTAGGTCAATAGCACATGATTCCGTGTAGCGTGAGTAGGGACTGTCAGAGAGTCCACTTTAAAGATGCTAACTATTGGTTTTATTCCAGCTGGCTGCCCTCTTATGCTGTCATGAGGCATGTGGCACAAGTGTCATTGTAGGAGTACCTCCTGATTCCCAAAGCCTCTCAGTGAACCCAGCGCTGCTATTGACGGGACGCACCTGGAAAGGAGCAGTTTTTGGTGGTATGTAATTAGGCTCAATGGTCAAATTCTTATTAATATCAGGCTTTTTTCCTTTTACAAATGACAGTCCAGGTTTTGAAAAGCAATGTGGTCAAAACCAACTTAAAATTCCTGTTATAACTATAGGCTCTTAATCAACTAGATGTGGACCTAATGCAGACAGAAGGTACTAGGACAGGTTTTTCTGGTGTTCCAACAAACTAATTAGGTCATTTCAGCATCACCTCTTTTTATACTCATAACTGCATAAGGCACCAAAATTCCCCAATAAGACACAGTAAACCTAAAGTGATAATACATGTGTACACTCCTTGTACAGCACTACTTAATTTTGGGCATAATCACATCTTTGTAAATCCTCTATAACAGGCCTAGTAACTAGGACTCTTGCTTATTTGGGAGGATTTTTTTTAAAGTCTAAGCACTTCAAAAGGATATTGAAGCACTCTATCAATCATAATCCTCAGTATATTAGTCTGTGGAATCCAGCACATTTTATAAACTTTTATCTTAATTTTATTTCAAAAGTTGCCTCTCCAAATCTCCTACTTTCTCCTGGAAGAATCTAACAGTGACATTGTCTTCTTCTCAGGTTTTAAGAGTAAAGATTCGGTCCCTAAACTCGTGGCTGATTTTATGGCTAAGAAGTTTTCTCTGGATCCATTAATAACCCATGTTTTAC